CCGACACATGACCATGCCCGACTAACCGACTAGCAATGCAGCAAGCACAGAATCGCAGTCTAATCATAGGTGCTATTGGACGGGGACGGGTTGATATCGGGGTCTAGTGACACCGCCGTGCGCCGTGCAGAATAGGGCCAGGATCTGCGCTCTCGGCCGCTAGTCCGTCAGTTAGCACAGAACCTATGCACTGTTGGCTATTAGACTCGGCGCCGCTGACGCTGTGGTCTGCTGTGGACAGTCGAGTGACGCTGGGTGTGACGCTTTGGCTGTCAATTGCGCAAATTGCAGCATTACAACTAAAAGGCTATAGCGTATGCCTGAAGCGCATTCAGGCGTTTCTGTAGTGTAGGATTGTCTGGACAGCCGAGTGCGCATCCCTGCACCAGCCAGAGTGCCGAGTGATCCTAATGCAGCTCGCAGCCGTGTTGGGCCGATTCCATGACTGATGCATGCCACCGACCTCATCGGAGCGCTGGGGCGGCGCCAACACGCCAGTACGCCAACAAGCCCAGCCCAGCCAGACCAGCCAGGCGAGAGCCAGTTGTCAGCCGCTCGCTGGCACGCCCCATACCCAGCCGCCGCGGCGGCCAGCCGACAGCCGGAGTCTTGATGGCTCATAGCTCACGCGCCACTCGGTGGTGTTGGCGTTTCTTGTGGGGATAACACACCAAACCCACACCACACCGCAGTCCCGGCATAGCGGCATGGCGGCACAGTACGGCAGACCACCCAGACGATGCACTCGGCACCGGCGGCAACCCACCCACACCCACAAGGCACACGGCACACATACTCCAGCGCTCCAGCGCTCCAGTGCTCCAGCGTGCTCCAGCTGTCACCCTGCATCAACTGACCGTGACGCGATGGCACCATGCATGTCGTCCAAGCCATGGTGCCACCAGATCCGCCGCAATTCAGTGGGCCCAGTCTTGGGACCCGCCCAGCGCACCCAGCGTACACCAGCATGATCCCAACGCGTTGGAGTCGGCCATTTTCCGTGGGAAACACGACAAAGGGCAAGACACAGACGGCCCGAGACCTGGTTCAAGTGAAAGGAACAGTGCGCGTGACAATCAGATGCAGATCCAAAGATCCAGCGACCAGTCAGTCTGTTTCTATGCAGTGCAACTCGAGAAAGCAAGTAGACAGGCTGGTGGCAAGCACCAATAGCATAGATCTGTCATGAAAAAATAAACCCTATGGAAGACGAGTGTCGATGCAGGAGAGAAACCAATGTGGACAAGATGTTGATTGAGTATGGTGTATGTATACAACTGTACAGCCCGAGATGCAGGTCGGGTTGGTATGGGAGAGACGGACTTGAGAGGGGGATAGTTTAAAGGTAATTGTTGTATTAGACGTGTATTATGATGGACAGGCAAGAATGGTTGAGATGGAGAGAGCGGTCGGGCGGTATTACCAGGCGCCGACGCTCAGCGGCTGGCCCATGTGCACCGAACCGGCCCAGTCGGAGACCGAAGACTTGCTGCCCGTGCGCGACGACGTCGGTCGCTTCGGCTGGCAATCGCGGCGACGGGCGAGGGCGTCTTGCAGTCCTCGGACGCAGGCGACGAGGCTAGTGATGAAGAGGCCGAGCTCAGCGCGGGGGGCTGCGGCGAGATGTGGGAGGGGTGGAGATAGGCGTTGTGAGCTGGTGACGGAAACGCACTGCTGCCACGCTTCGAGGGAGCAGGGACCGGGCGAATGGGTCGCGAAGGGTCCGGCGTGGACTTGGGCGAAGGGTAGGCAGCGGCGGCGGCGGCAGCAGCGGCAGACGACGATCCAGCCACGGAAACAGCCGGAGAGACAGAAGCCATCGAGACTTCCGAGGTGGCAGAGCGGCGAACAGGACCGTGCTCAGCGCGGACGCGAGCCTCAAACTCGGCAACCTCCTCGCCAGTGACGTTCAGCTTCCACTCCAGGTAGGTGCACATCTCGCGCTCCATCTGGTTGATCTCCTTGAGGGAGAACATCTTCTGGCCGACGATGCACCATGACTGGTTCGAGTAGGTGTCGTCACAGATGACCTTCGAGGCGATCATGAAGGCGGAGATGAACAGACGATGTCCGGACGATCCGCGGGCGGCAGGGAAGCGCGTCTTTAATCGGTCAAGAAGCAGAAGGGCGGCAAAGGTGACGACGGAAGGAAGGCGGGTGCGGTGGAGAGCATAGGCGATGAAGTGCGCCATGGAAGGGGTCGGCTGACCGGGGTGGGCCTGCGGGGGCACGTCGGGACATCCGAAGAGGGAGAGGATGTAGTCGGCGCACATGAGGGCCGTCTCCTCATGTCCGTAGTAGGGGTCGGCGTGTCGCGGTCGAGACGAGTGGGCCGAAGTGGACGCAGACGCCTTGACGGCTTTCCGGCTGGAGGCCGGAGAGGGGGGGTTGGGCCGGGAGGCCGGGACCGACGTCGAAGGCGCGGAGGACATTTCGGTGATCGGTCGGACGGGGGGAAGAGGTAGTGAGGAGAGTAGAGGGGTGCAATGAAGCCTACGGTAGTGAGGTAGGGAGAGGTAACGCGCTGAGAATCTAGCACGAGTCAGCATGAAGAAGACGTGGGCAGAGGAGGAAGAAGTGTGCGAGAGTGTGGAGTATATCAATGAGTGGTCACGGAAAAGACGCCAACAGCCATGGTGGGAAAGCTGGCGATCTGATGGGGGCAGGGTGTGCTTAGAGGGTGGTGGAAGAGGATGAATGCGGTGGAGCAAGGGGCAGTCGGGCAGTAGGGGGGGG